AAGACCTCATCTGAAAAACCATTTAAAAAATCCAATTTATTTCAATCCTCTCTCTCCAGCACTTCGCTACCGACAAAGTTAAAAGGAATTTTTGTTCCCAGACTCGCATTATTTAAAAAAATTGATAGCTACTGGTGCTGTTTGAGATGAGTGTGGATTGCTTGCTTCAAAGCTTCCAAAATACACTGCCTCTGCTTCATGGTGTGTATGTGTGTGTTTTGTGTGGGTTGGGGGGTGGGGGGGACCTTAAACAATGTAAAGCCAATGAGTGAAAATATCCACTAAATATTCCTAATAGCAACCGGATGTGAGAATCAATTCAATTCTACATTTCAGTCTGAGTTAGGGTGGGTTTTCTGGAAGGATTATATCCAACGGGCCAAAGGGTCTTCAAATTGGACCTCGAATGGTTGGAAGTGGGATCGGAGAATTTATCTTAAGAACATGAGAACACGAGAACTTGCTCAGGGAAAAAAAAGCCCCAAAGGTCCATCTATTTTGCCTTCCACCACCCCGTCAGTGGCTTGACATTGTTGTGTCCCCAAACTGTACGCCGTATCTCCCAGCTATTATTTTCTAGCAGAAATCTGTCTAGTTTGTTCTGGAAGCAGACAACATTTTCAGCTTCCACCGTTCTGTCTCCCTCGGTGCTCACCGAAGTGGTGTTTCCGCAGAATTGTTCCGAATTTACCCCCACCCCCACCCCCCTCAATCGCAGGCCGTGTCCTCTGGGTCCACAAGATAAAACAGCTTATCGCGGTCTGCATTAAAACGTCGCACGCAGAGCTCCCACCTGTAGAGGCTGAATCAATTGGGAGGCTTGAAAGGGAAATGGGAGGGGTATGGAGAAAAGGCAGGGAAATAGGGTTTTAAGAGATCTGCCACAATCTGATAAACTGGCGGAACCGACAGGGTGGGTTGATTGCGATCAGAGCCTTGGGACTTCCTTCCGACATGAAAGACGCTACGTCAATGTAATTTGTTGTTGTTGTTGTTGTTTGGCCTCCCCCCCCCCCCCGCCCCCACCCCCTTTGTGTTCTATTATTCCTAACCTGCTTCCTCCGCTAACTATTGTCATGTTACCCACCACCTGGAGGAGGCGGGTGGCGCTGGGCTGGTGTTGGGAGCTAACAATGCCTCCAATTCTCATCATGAAGTTATGACACACATTAGATTGTGAGGCGTTGGGTCAGATTAAGGCATTGTGTTGGCCCCCCCAAAAAACGTTCACTCTTACCGTCGGTAAGAAAAGCTGATAGAAAACCTCCCTCGTCGAGTACGCCTGGAATCCTTGCGTTTGACACAGCGCCTTATCACGTCTTCGAGACGTCTCAAAGCGCTTCGAGCGGTACAGTGTGAAGTGAATGCAAAACGACTGGACAAGTCGGTCCCCTCTCCCAGCTCTCCTTTGCTCTTCCTTTAGACCGGCAGAGAAACGAGCAAAAAATTGAAGCGACCTTCGTCTTGACAAACGGGTAACTGTTTGAAGAAAAATAAATCTCAATGAGCACCGGGAAACGTGCAGGAAAATAGGCGTTAGAGCGCAGAGCTCCAGCCGGGTGGGGTGAACTGAGTGAGATCTTCTGTGCTGTAAGAGCTTTCAATAGTTCTACGATTGTGTCGCCTTTTCACCCGGGACGTTAGACAGTAACGGTAGTGTAGTTGGGGTTCCCCAAATGTGCTGGTGCTGAACAGTAAATATTTTTTTGCCAGAAGGTGGCAGCCTAGACAGGGCTATCGGTCCCGTTCCGCAGCCAGCTTCACTTTTCTGGGAAGGATGGAAATTTGGTGGACAAAAAAGGGAAAACGTGGAAACGCCAACAGCAACAACAAGAAGATTACATTCGATAGTGCCTTTCACGTCGGGAGGACGTGTCCCAGAAAGAAATATGAAACGTGTTTTCACAGCCCAAGTGGAAACTCCGCAAAACGCACATTTTAACTGTGATAATATAATTATATATATTTGTAAATATACTATTATTATTATATTTGAACCCTGCTTGAGGAATACGTATAATGGTGATTCTCTTCAAGCAGAGGTTCTGTCAGTCACTTCACCCAACAAAAAGAATCACTTTTTAAAGAAAATTCAAAAAAGAATAAGAACAAACACAATTCTCTTGATTTTTTTTAAAAAAAACTCACGGTTGGTATGAAAAAGACGTTTAAAAATACTTTTTATGACGTTTCGACAAATGTTTTATGCAGCTGACGCTTTAAGCTTCTCCAAACATCTGTTTAAAGCAAAAAAAAAAGAAATCCATAGGAGTAATTAAGCCGCCGTTTCATCTCGTGCATCAATTAGACACATTCGACAAATTATCACATTCGGCCCCGGGAAGTCAAGCTTCGGAGCATAAAATTGGTTTGAAATGCACTCTTTTAGAAATGATACGTTAGAGAGAGAGAGAGAGAGAGAGAGGGGGGGAGAGAGAGACGGGGTGGGATAGAAGGGTGCAGGAAGGGTAGAGACTTTCGTGGGGTATAAACGCCAGCAAGGACGAGCTGGGCTGAATTGTCCTATTTCCGCGTGTCCTCATTTGATGCAATGCCACATTTCACGTCAAATACCCAATTCCTTAAAACTTTCATTTTTTTGTGGGGGGGAAAAACGTTGCGAAAGACACCCGTTTCGTTTCACGTTCTTTCTCTCTCTTTCTCGCCGATATTGTCAGCGACCTCGTCCCGCGTTGGCGGCGCCATTTGGATGGAATGCAACAGTTCTGTTCGCTGTCCAGTTTTGGACAGTTATAATCGTGGGAACGCATGCGGTTCAGTTGGGTTGTGTGTGTTTGCAAAGGTAACTACATCAGTAGTTTCCACCCACAAAACACACAGTCGCTCAGCTTTACCGTATAGCCTGCGAAGCGCTTTCAGACGTCTCGAAGAACGTGATAAGGCGCTGTGTCAAACGCGAGGACTGTCATCATTGTAATTAATATACTACAACTAATACTAATAATAATAATAATAATCGTGATTGCGCTTGAAATAGCGCCCGGGTCGCGTCTTCGAGGACGTCTCAAAGCGCTTCGCAGGGTATATACGGTAGAGCGTAGTGACTGTAATAGCGTGTGGGAGAAATTTCGAACAAGTTATTTTTATTATTATTGTCATTACTATTCCTTTGTTTGGGCGCGGAACGGTCGGCAGTGAGTTGGCACAGCCTGTACCACTGGGAGTGGCGATGGTGTGAGTGAGGGAGTGAGGGAGGGAGGGAGGGAGGGAGAGAGGAAGGAGAGTGGGGGTGGGGGAGAAGGGAAAGGCGTGCACTTTGGAGACATTCCCTTGGCCAACCTCACATCATTGGGAAGAGAGGAAGGTGAAGCCTGGAAACGAGTGGCCAATCATCTGGTCCTGATCTGTTTAAAGGGGTATAAAGTCCCTTACAGTCCTGTGGACAGGAGAGATTGCTGACACTGTGTGTGTGGGTTTTATAGATGAAATAACAACACCCCCCCACCCCCCCCTTAAATCCCACCCCCCCACCCCATCATCAACCCCCCACCCTCACCCCCCCCCCCTCCCCCAAGAAACCTGGTGCAAATGTGAAACCCCTTTTCCCCCCATCTGGTCCCACAAGGAGGCAATTTTGTTTTATTTGCTGCAACAACAACTGGGTTTTGATGCAAAGCCCCAACGTTTGCAACAGACAGAGACACACACACACAGGACATTGGGAGGATATTCATTCACGTTGAACTGACAGACCTGTCTCTCTGTGTCTGGTGTCTGTGTGTGTGTCTGTCTGTCTGTCTGTGTCTGTGTCTGTGTGTGTGCTGGAGTTTCTGTTACAGTTCTAACCCTCGGATCCTCAAGATTGCTGGTGAGAGACAGCTTGAGGGAGAGACACCCAGAGAGAAAGAGAGAGAAAGAAAAGCAAAGCAAAGCAAAGAAAAGAAAAGAGAGCAGTTAACAAGATCAGGTGAGAATGCAACTGTTCACCTGAGACACAGTGCAACAGGTTGAAGGGGAGACAGACAGAGGATGGGAGTGGAGAGGAGATGCAATGAAACTGATCTCAGTCTCTCTTATGTATGTGCACAGATATATATATATATATATCTATAGTAAAAATGCAACGTTAGATCGTTTTAGAAATGTCGCAGTGGGGAAAAGGTTTTAATACGATCAATGATCGCTTGGATTTGTGTTCAGGTGAGTGAGTGAGTGAGTGAGTTCCAGACACTGATGGCTCTGAATGCAGGAGTTTGAGAGAGAAAGAGAGACAGAGAGAGAGAGAGAGAGAGGAATAGTGTATTTTAGTGCTTTGATCTTCCTGAGTATTTCAGAAGGTACAAAGCTGCTAAATGTGCTCAAATTTACCATTCTCTACATTGCAGAACCCATTTCTCCTCCTACTTTCTATAACTTTTTTTTTAACCCAATCAGTTGAAAATTACAACCCAACACTAGTCGTGTAAAATATTTCCAAGCATTGGCTTACATAGCTTTATGTGCAGTGTGTACATAATAGGCTAAGCTATTATTTTTTTTTAAAAAAATCATAATTTCTTTCAGACTTATTAGACATTGTAATGGTATCACAACTTTTTGGTCCCCCTGTGTGTAATGATAATATTAATAATAATACTTGTATTTGATACAGCGCCTTCGAGACGTCTCAAAGCGCTTCACAGAATATACTGTAAAGTGAATTGACTGTATATTTGTGGGCGAACGCGGCAGCCAATTGCGCACAGCAATGTCCCACAAACAGTCGTGGATTGAAAACGACCAATTTATTATTGTTTCAGTTTTCGGAGGGATGATTTATATAGTCTATATAGACAGATAGATATAGCTTTGTTTGTCAGTGACTGAAACTTGCTGATCCTCATTATTACCATTATTTAAAAAAAATTGTTGTTGCTTTGATTTCCGCAGTTCTCCAGGAGGCAAAGAGGGGGGTGGAGAGCGAGAGAGAGCGAAGGAGAGAGCGAGAGGGAGCGAAGGCGAGAGAGAGAGAGAGAGAGAGGAGAGTGTGTGTGTGTGCGAGATCTGAAATCGATCCTCCCCCTCTCTGCCCCACCACCTCCTCTCACCCCATCGCCCCGCCTCCCAGCTTTAAAATCAACAACAACAACACAACAACAACAGTCCGCAAATGCCTGTTCTAACCTCTCTGGAGATCGCCACCAAGTTTAAGGAGAATTGGATGATGCTTCACCCGGACGATCAGGAGAACGTGAACGGGGCTGTCAATCTGGACGACAGCCTGACCAGCCTCCAGTGGCTGCAGGACTTCTCCATCCTCAGTGCCAACCTGGAGAAGCTCCCCAGCTCCAACCATCACCAGAAACCGTCGCACTTCCCCGGCGCGGAAGCCCCAGCCTCGCCCACCGCGGGCGACACGGCTGCCACGGGGATGCCCCTCAGCCTGGGCAAGCCCACCTCGGCCGCCACCGGGCACACAGCGCCCCCGCCCCTCCTCCTGCTGCAGCCCCAGCCGCCAGCCCCCAGCCCCCCGGAGGACGTGGACTACAAAAGCAACCCACACGTCAAGCCGCCCTATTCGTACGCCACCCTGATCTGCATGGCCATGCAGGCCAGCAAAAAGAGCAAGATCACCCTGTCCGCCATCTACAACTGGATCACCGACAACTTCTGCTACTACAGGCACGCAGATCCCAGCTGGCAGGTAGGCAAACACCCCCACCCCCAACCCCCACTGCCCCCCCCAGCCCCCACTCACCCCCCCCACAACCCCCCTTCCTCCTCCAGCCTCCACTTACCCCCCACCACCCCCCTCCCCCCCAGCCCCCACTCTACCCCCCACCACCCCAATATCAAATGCAAACCTTATCATGGCTTAAGAACCTTAAGATGTCTCAAAGCGCTTTACAGGATATACTGTAGAGTCTATTTTGTGGCCGAAATTATTATGCCTTGTACAATATTCTCCTGTGTTATGTGTAAATGCAATGTCCCTTTTTATATATATATATATATGAACTAAAACACCTGAATTGGAGGATTCACTTCATAAGATGAAGTGCAGGATCTGAGTCTACCTGTGGTCAGTCAGTCCCTTCAAACCAGATTGAAAGTCAGATTAGGGCTAATAAATACATGTAGAAGATAGGCTGGGTTGGGCTGCCCCTGGTGACATCGGTGGCATTTTGTGCAGCATTAGAAAAAAAAATGGATAAGTTCCTTCTCAAAGGAGCCAACACCTAGACACTGAAGCAAGTCGAGGGCAGTGAAATCGCGATAGACATTATCGCTCGAATATTTCGCGCCAATAGAGTGGTGAAATGGCAACGCCATTCGGATGAGGCACAATTCTGCTCCTCGAGTGCAAGCGAAAGGGTTAATGTAGTAAATCATTGGGCCACGGTTTTGGTTCGTTACTGTCTTGTCTTTGTACCCGCTTGTTTTGACGGATAGACAAATGGGAACGAATGGTATTAACATACTTGGCAAACGACTGCTTGCCCAAAGGCAGCGGGAGGAACCATTCTCAATATCCAATGCCAAAGCATCGTGGCTTTTGTATACATGTTGGCATAGTGTATTGCTCCACACCAACAACAGGTCCACCTCTGGTGGGAGAGAGATGGAGCTTAAATACAATTGCTCCACTGGTCCATGGTTCCGTCTACTATGTTGATGTGTGCCTCAGGTCCGATTTTTGGTGGTTTAGCTTAAGTCATTAACGGGTTGGGGGTTTGAAAGACTGGGTTTCCTATCGAATGAATTGACAACATTTCTCTCATCTTAACGACAGAATAGTTGATCTGAAACCGTTTTCGTCCCATAAAATATACAGTCAATTCACTTTACAGTATATCCCCGGTGAAGCGCTTTGAGACGTCTCGAAAGACGTCATGAAGCGCTGTATCAAATGCAAGGATTATTATTATTATTATCTGACTTGTTGGCTGGCTCGTGAACACTGAACCTTGTTGCCAGTTCTAGACCAGGTCCGATCAAAAGCAGGGCTGAATGTCCTTGGGTCTTGTTTTGTGGCCGTTGATAATCCTACACGCATACTTGGGCACATTAGCTTTTTTTTTTGAAGCAATCGACCCTCCCCGTTCTTAATTACGCTTTCTTGCACCTTCCGACCACACAATGGTAATGGAGCTTGTGGAATGTAAAGTGATATGGAGTAAGGCTCTCCATTCACACAAATGACAGCCCACTAATTCCTAAAGGATAACGGCCATTGATGGGAAAAGGCCTCAACAATTACGAGGTTGCATAATTTGTAAGGTTAACAAATGAGCCAGAAATATCACTGATCATTGCTATTATTTAGTCATTCCGTTCTCCTCATTTGAAAGATCCCCAGGACCCCAAAAGCTATTCTTAAGACGACCGCTGAGTACAAAAACTGCACAGTCAATATGGAAACCTTTTGTTTGGGGGGAAAAGAAGGAAGAAAATCGCTGAAATAGAAATTTTGATCTCGGTCAATTGCCCTGCGGTGGTGGTATGCACAGATCATTTGCCTCTTCCTTCGTTAAGAGGCTTTTCCCCACAAAATCAACTTTTAAACTTGCCTTTTGCCTCCAACCCCCTCAATGTACGAATGTAGCTGGAATAGTGGATTCCAAACCAAATCCCAATGTGGTTTCCTTTGGTGTTCATAATACAGGGAGACCAAAAGGTCGTGAAAGCTATACCTTAAAAACAAATCAACATTTCTTTAAGACTCGTTAGACATTGTAATGGTATCAGAACTTTTCGGGTCACCCTGTATTATCAATACCAAGCGAGACCCAATTGGAATTGGCTTCAATGGGCAGCAGCAGAGCAATGAGACTGAAGACCACAAGAGGGAGGTAGCATTGGCCACTTGCAGAAATCCCTTGGAGGGACATCATAGACGGAGAGATGCAGATACCCTAACCCCCCTCCTCCCCCCCCCTCACCCCCTCAAACTCACCCCCACCATCGACTTAGAAATGGGGAGAAAAGGTTCCACAACATCAGTAATTATGAAAGTAAATTCTTATTGTTTCGAATCCATTCATTTAGGGAAGAACCACAATTTCTTTCTTTTTTTAAAAAACATCTGAACTGGGGTGGGGGGGGGGGGAAAGAAGTTCAACAACAGTGAGCCCGACCCATTGATAAAATGCTGCAAACGCACACTTTATTTCCATATCTGACTGATTGTACAGCGGGGCCACACTGTGTGTGCTTGCCTCTGAAGGTTTGCTCCGAGTATTCCAAGTTTCTTCAGCTAAAGGCTGTTGGGCATTGACTAACAAGTGCTGCCTTTCACCCAATTTGTTCAGTTCTAATGGTAAGCGGGTGTCCATTTCCTGAGTGATCTCAGATTAGATATCTGTGGTTGTCTCGTGTGTGTACACACACACACACCTCTCTCTTATCTGCTCCTCTACTGATCTACTGATCTAGAGGATCTACCAATATCTATCTGCTCCCCCTTGGGAGTCTGATATCCTTATTGGTCCAGTGTAGGGAGTTGTTTCCTATATCTTTAGTGGCCCATCACACGGACTCTTATTATTGCTGGAATTTAATAATTGCTTTGTGTTCCTAATTTTTTTTNACACACGCACAAACACTTTCTCCTGAAAGCCGAGGTGAAGATCCACCCACTCACTGCCCACGTGGCGAGTCTAGAAAATAAATAAGTAAGTAACGAGCAAGTGACTTAAAGGTGACTTGCTACAGGACCAGAGATAGAACCTAACAATTTCTGGGTCTCCGTGTATCAGTTTCACAGCCACTGGTTATCAGATAATCTACTCTTGAATTGAGGGGAGAGGAATCCCTGAAATCTGAAATACCAGGCAATTTGCAAGCTGGTTCGAATCCTATTAATCGCGGTGTACTTAATGGATCCCAGATTCGCTCCATCAGGAAGCACCTTCTGACCACACAATGGTAATGGAGCTTGGCCTTGACTGAAGTCCACTGGAAGATGGTGCAAACCCTTCCTTCTGAACTCAGTAGTAACGTAAGGAGATAATTTTGCGTCTCGAACCGTTCGTTCCCCAGCAGGGCAAAGCTGCAATTTACAAAAGTACTTTGAGTGTGTTTCATTTGTCCCTGAGCTAAAACAATAAGGAACAGCATTTCCTACCCTTATCACAGATTCTCTGGGACCCACACAGACATTTTCTTTAACCTTATGCCAAAAGTAATCCTGGTATCGTAAGAAGGAAATGGACAGCTCTTTCTTTAATCGAGCCTGCGTTGGATATTATTTCACCGCCGCTTTGTGGGTTGGCTTTAGCGTTCCGCATTATTCTTAGCCGTTGTGTTCTTGACCATCTAATTATTCTTCGAGGAAGGAATAAATACTGATGTCTAAGGGGGTAGGAGGTAGGGACAGGATCCTTTATGAGGCAGCTGACAGTTAGAATGACAGCTATATGGTATTTAGTGGGGTCGATTTCAACACTGGAACAGAAGCTGGTAATCTGACACTCGCTTTTGTAATGATCTTCCCATTAACCAGAGGATGAGGATTTCACCGCTTGAAACGGTGACATAATCCAGGCTACGGTTTACGCTGGCGCTGAATGAAGAATAAAAGTAAATGGCCTGAATGAAACGAACTGTGTTTGGGCGCATAATCACCCCTGCTAACACATCACAAGATCTTGAGATTGGTTCGAATCAACAAGTGCCTTTGTCTATATTTTTTTATCCCATCTTAACCATCCTCCCATTACAGCATCAAGCTGTTTCTTAATTGAGTCCAGTGTCCTGGCCTCAACCACCTTCATGGTAACCTCAGTCCAGTCGTTACACCCTGGGTTTAAAAAAAACTGGGTGTCTGCCCTGAAATTACCCTTTGAAACTATTACATTCCAGCTCCCACCACCCCCATCCCCCCTCGCCCCCCCACCCCCCCCCCCACCCACACACATTGGCTTGGTGAGGTTAATAACACTAATACCAATAATCCTTGCATTTGATATTGCTCCTTATCACATTGCTGAGACATCTCAAAGCGCTACGCAGAATATACTGTAAAGTAAATTGAACTGTGTGGTTGGTGAACCTGTATTGAGGTAATTGGTCTCAGTCAGGGCAACATTATCTGCACCATAATTTGGCTCAACACCAGGGATGCTGAGGTGCGGGCGGAGAGAGGAAAGTCAACCAGGGTTTCCCCTGCTGATCTCTATCTCCAGATCTCAGCTAAATGGACAGCATCTGGAACCCCCTGAACTTGCAGTGTTCGAACAGCCGAACCACACCTACTGTTAAACCACGCGATGCTGTCTCGTTTGTTCTCTGCTACACTCCAGGTGTTCTCAACAACAACAACAACAACAACAGCTTGCATTTACGTAGCACCCTTCACAAGGGGTAGCATCCCAGAGGGCTTCTCAAGATATACCCGGCTTGACATTCCATTAGCCGTAGCCCGAACGACCATTTTTTTTTTTTTTTTGGGCTTAAAATTTAAGATTGTGAATTTAAGAAAACGACACGGTCTTAATATCTGTCCAACGTTGTGACAACCGGCCTGTCCTGCAGTACTTGCTGGCGAGAGCCCTGTAGGAGCCTTATCTTATTTCATTCTTTATAATATCGTTTCGAACAGCTTCCTCTGTCTGAAAAGTTTTCTTTCGGTTTACTTTTTTTAAAAATATTTTCACACACAACACAAGGAATGTACATTCTTAAACTTCGTTTCCCCATGGCTTGATTTTTCTCCCCCTTCCTTTTAGCTCTCACTGCCGTGCGCACTTGGATACCGCGCTTCGCCCATAAAATACGCAGTCACCTCAAGCCAAAGACCGCAGCTCCTGCCAATCCGCGCTCTCCCACCCACCCCCCCCCCACCCCCAACTCTGCAGTGAGATGTCAGTCTAAGCACTGGATGAGCTCAAACTCACAACTTGTGGAACCCGGACTGCAGAGCCACTTAACGCACGCGTTGGTTGCATTTTCTTTGGCTCGTAATGCATCTTTTCTCCTTAACCTTTGACGTCTCCAGGCCTTTGCCAATGTGCTACACACTTCACTGGTGATTACAAGCGGGTTCGCTAATACTTTTTTTTGGGGGTGAGGTGGGGGGGGTGGGGGGCAAAGCACCGTTTTGTTTTTCGAACGCCGTCTCGTAGACTACGTGACGCATTCACCTCCAAAACACATCGACTAGACAGTGGAATCCAGAAAGATACAGAGGCCGGCCGTTTTACCAGATATTGTAGGATATTTTACAATGAATTCTGCCATCATAGAACGTCTGTCTGCACCCTGAAATCTGCGTGTAAACGCACCTCCACTGAGGGGGAATAACCCCAGATGGGTTAATTCTGTTCTAACAGACAAGGGACGTAAGACAATCAACTCGTGTTTCGAGATGGGTTTTACTGATGAGGTGTCAGCGATGTTGATAAAGTACTGTCTTGAGCAACAGGTTAAAAGGGATCCACAATCCATGAATACAATAATACTGCAAGAATAGCACTCTTCAGTACAAGCGAAAACTCTCCAGTCTTGTGACAAGATCTCTCAGAGAGGTGTATAAAATTGGAAAATTGGTTTGAAAGAGCAAAGCCAGAAACAATACTTTAAGAGGCACCGGGCACCGGGATGGTAGAGCGAGAGATCGTAGGTTTAGTGCTGCAAAGGGCAATTTCAGGCAGGATAGCGCTTTAGCCTTACCCAGAGGGTCATCAATGAATTGGAATGGATTGTCAAGAAAGGGACTCGTTTTAAAAATGGCTTGATGTTGCGCTGGGAAGATGGTAGGGTGGGAATGCTAGAAGGATGCGATGAAATGGGTCGAAGGACCTTACTTTGTGATCTAACACGTTAATGCGCACAGGGTGAGCGGTAAGGTGTCAATGCTGCACACAGGGTTGGAATAAATTTAGGAATAAAATAAAAAGTCTCAACACGTAGTCCCAAAAAACATAAAGCTAACATTTTGACTTAAGGGACCCGAACACCTTATTTAACATTTTTCAGTTCCTACAGAGATTGGAAAACTTGAGTACTAAACTATTTTTATGACTAATTTTAATACTTGTCATTTTAACGCTGTTATCTATATCTTGCCACCTCTTAATGCTTGTTTGCAGGATACACTGTAAAGTGTAGTGACTGTGTATTTTATGGGCGAAGCGCGGTATCCAAGTGCGCACGGCAGTAAGAGCTAACAGGAAGGGGGAGAAAAATCAAGCAATGGGGAAACTAAGTTTAAGAATATACATTCCTTGTGTTGGGTTTAAAAATACTAAAAAAAAAGTAAATTCTTTGCACGTTGCGGGTTTGTAATAGAGAATGTACTTATTGTGAAGATAAACGTGAACTGTCTATTCATATCAAACTTTATTTTGCCTCCTATACTGTCAGGAAAACAGGAAAACAACAACTTGCATTTTGTATGACGCCCTTCACGCAGATTAGCATCCCAAAACACTTAAAACACAACACACTGAGCCCAATATACCAGTATGTATGGCAGCACAGAGCAAACTGGGTTTAGTAGCACACAATGGTACAAATTAATTCTTGCAAGATATAGTTAAAAGTGTCAAAAGTTGTTACTCCCTTCCCTTTGATTTCTAGAATATGTCTGCAATTCTGAATTTAATGGATCATAACAGGCTCCAGAGCTGAGCAGCATTGGATTAAGCCGAATGCGTGTATTTGAAATAAGGTCTGCATTTTCATAAACTTTCCCTATAAATCTTTGAACGAACCCTTAGTTAAAGGACGCTTCACGGATTGAATTCGGTGGATGTATGAATATAGCTCAGAGTTATCTCCGTTTTTCCTAAATGACCAATAGGGACATCTTTCACAGATCAAATTGTATATTTCGCCCACAAAAATACACAGCCAATTCACTTTACGGTATATCCTGTGAAGCGCTTTGAGACGTCTCAAAGACGTGACAAGACACTGTATCGATTGCGAGGATTATTATTGTTGTTGAAACATTTTGTGGTGTCGATGTCTCGCCCTTAATTTTTTTTCATTCAACTTGTAGAACTCCATTCGTCACAACCTCTCTTTAAACAAATGCTTCATGAAAGTGCCAAGACAGAAGGATGAGCCTGGCAAAGGAGGATTCTGGCAAATCGATCCGCAGTACGCTGACATGTTTGTCAACGGCGTGTTCAAAAGGAGGCGGATGCCGGCAACTCACTTTAGCACCCTCAGACAGAACAAACCACCGTCTATGTCTACGTCTGTGCCCGAAGCCTCGTTGAGTCCATCGCCTCAGACCTTTTTGCCTCACTCAGCGAACGGACACCCCACCATGCGGTACATGGCCAATGGCCACAGCGACCAAAGCTTCGGCTTGTTGGACAACCAACGAACTGTGAGCAAACGCAAGCAAGCCTTGCCAAAGCGATCGCTCAAGATGGCCAGAGGTTCCAAGTCTCCGCTGCTGTCTCAGGACGATAGGGAAGCCGAGTCCCTCAAGGGAGATTTTGACTGGGCCTCGGTCTTTGATGATGTGTTCAACGTCAACGGGAGCAATTTTGAGGACCTCGATATCAATGCTGCGTTGAACTCGTTGGGAACAGACCTGGACCTTACTGTGCAAGGCCGACACATCAGTCCTCAATCTAAATGGTGCGCCATTGGGATGGACCAAGTTCTCGCCGAAACCACCAGCCAAACTACGCAGTTTGAAGATTTTACTTTCTTCTCAGATCTTCAGAGGCATCCTTGGGAGGAGATGAAGGAAGAATTCCAAGTGAACCCTTTGAACGTAGATCAAGGCTTCAATTTCTATGAAGGTTTCTTCAATGAAATACATCAGTGGGAAAGAGGGGAGACCTTTCTGTGACCGGGCTCCATTTCCACCCCCACCCCACCCCACTCAAATGATGAACCCTGAATCATTTGCTACATTAGCATTATTGCTCTTGTTTATTGGAAAATGTACAGCTTATGTGAAGGTTCCTTTATATTGTTGAAGAAGACTATTTGTTATTTTTTATTGTTTATAATTTTACACTGGAATATACCATTTAACAGAGAATGTCTGTCATGGTCAAACAAAGTCTGAAATTCCCAATAGTTTTAGAATCATAGCCTCTGATTACATACCAGATTGTACCACTTGTAAGGTGCAAACTGCTGCAATACTTTTAGAAGGGATTTGTTGTCAAAGCTATCTGTTGTTTCAGATCCTTTGTCTTTTATTCAAAAACCGAAAATGTCTCAGTTGCACTTGACACTTTGAAAGACCGTGTTGCTACAGTGAAAATGTTAGACCGATAGTCAAGTCAAGCAAATGGAACTGGGAAGGCACTGGATATTGTACAGTCAATTAAGAGCGAGCAGGAATTTCACCCAAAGGAATTTCTCTTCCCTGAAATGTTTCCTAAAGACCATTTCGTCTCTGTATTGCAAATGAATCCCCCCCCACCCTCTCCCCCCCCAAAAAAAATTGGAAGACTGAAACGTGTTGCACTTAAAGGAACTTTCCTCCTAATCAATTTTGGAATTGCTTTTAGTTTTAAAACCTGATTCCCACTTTTATTGATTTACTGCTGCCGTGTTTTGCCGTATGAACTTTACGTTAGAAATACAGAACTAAAACTTCAAAGCCTTTTTTTTATAAAATCTAGAAACAATACACTAATTTTCCACTTTTTCTTGACTTGACTATTGAATGATTTGTTAGCTTTGCTTCTAGGGCTTCACAGAATCAACAACTCTTACAGAATGCAAGGCACAGGTCCGACCATATATTTTTCCATAAAGTACTTATTTTATTCAGAGATGTACTAGTGTTAAAAGTGTAGTTTTGTGGAATTGATTTGGTGACTAACACGAGTGGGGGAAAAAAAAAAAAAATCTCATAACCAGAAGGGACATGGGTAGGATTTGAAACGATTATTTTTTAGGGGCTGGCCATCAATCATGACAAACTCAAAGCCTGAATGATTGGACACCACAAAGGGCAATTCTACTGGCTGAAATAATACCTTACAATGAAAACAAGCATCTGGTGCTGTCTCCATCCAGCGTGGAACTTAACCGTTTAATCAAGTCGTCTCGAATCTATGCAGAACTCCTTTCCTCCTTGTAATGGAACTGCTGTCTTAGCACTGAAGTTATGGAGGATTTCCATCCTGTGACTTTTTGCAAAAAAAAAAAGAGCTGTTATTTATCTTGGAAAATGGAATGAACAATGTCCACTGAAAGTGTGTAACTATGCCAATCTCTTTAATTCACCAATTGCAGACTAGCGAGCTAGCGAGCCAGCGAGCGAGAGAGAAGAGAGAGAGAGAGAGAAAACAAAACTCATCCATATTTGAACAGAACAGACACGTAGTCACTGTTAGATGCTTGTTTTGTAACAAGAAAAGCGTGTTTGCTTGGGTTATTCTGTTATTGACCAATGGAGCGAATCACCCATGTGTGCAATCTCCCATTTTCTACTATGCTACATGCCTCACTGCAATAAAAATTGTGGGGTTTAAAGCACATTTGCTGGAGTTTTGTTTTAATAATGCAATCGATTTGCTGCTCTTTATTCATTGGGTTTCACTTGGACAATAGACTTTCTTTGAGAACAAAAATGCCAGCCATCTCATTATTGGGAGTCCTGTAGCTCAGCGGTGAGAGCACTTGCCTTGCAAGCGAGAGGACATGGGTTCGATTCCCAGGCTGGGCGAAATGTTGAGGAAGTTTCCTTACTCCCCACACACACCTCGGTTTATCTAGCAGTAAGTAGGAACCCGGTAGTTAGTCGATTGGGGGATCGCTTTTCCTAGGGTAATAATCCGTTCAAAATTGTTTCTTTTTTTTGAAAAATAATAATAATTATTTCACTTCAATCCACGACTGTTTGTGGGGACGCTGCTGTGCGCAATTGGCTGCCGGGTTTCGCCCACAAATATACAGTTAATTCACTTTACAGTATATTTTGAGAAGCGCTGCAGCCAATGCAACGATTATTATATTATTAACAAAAATACCAGCGACCTTGTTAATAAATACTGTGAGCTTCGCGAGGTTACAGAGTAACAGAGTGGTTTAAGCCATTGTTTAAAGTATAATAGTGAATGCTTTAGACTCAACGTAACTTCTGGACAGAAACCTAATGTAGGTTTTTGAAATCGTGCCACTTTGATTAACCCAGTCTTGGGCTGGGAGGGGTGGGTGGAACGAAAAAGTGTTGCTAAATTTAACAATAATAATTCTTCGCAATTTGAAATAGTGCCTTATCACGTCATTGAAACATCTCAAAGGGCTTGGCAGGATTTACTGTGCATTTGTTTGTGTGCGTGTTTGTGTGTGTGTGTGTGGGTGGGTGTGTGTACGTGTTATCAAATTAGCAGCATGTGCGACACATCACAGCTGAGCCTCCACCTGTTCCCACATGGCGTCTGAATTGGTGTCTTTCCAGCACAGTCCATTGGACAGTGATTAAGAGCATAAGCCATGGCTGACTCTTCACTGCCCTAAACCCAGGACTCAACAGAACAATAACAGTGTCCGCTTCCTCCTACTCCCAACGCTTGACCTGCAGTCAACAGCTGAATCCTTGCTGTCTTGACCTGAGTGACAATGTCACAACGTATACCCACTGAACACCGAATGAACGTGAATCGCAGGTTTATTTCCTCCGCCCCCTCCTCTGAAAATGATATACTTGCTTATTTACAGAGCTTACGTAGAAATGTCAGCCTGGCCTTATCATTGCTCAGATCCTCCTCAGGTTTGCATTGCTGGGTGGAGTGGAATATTAACTACAGTGGAACAAGATGCTGAGCTGATAATCTTTGCAGACTGGAGTTCAGTGAGGACTTCACGGAACTCTGAACAGCAGCATCTCAGAAATCTCAGGGTGGAGGTTTGCTGGCTGTTGATTAACAACTAAACCATCCTGCTCCACTAACTGACCCCGACCAAACTCTGTGAAGTCATACAGTCTTGTGTCTGGGTAAAGGCAGACCATACAGCACCAAAGCCATGTTAAACCCAGCTCCTGTCTGCCTGTTCAGGTGGACGTTAAATATCCCGCGGCCGTATTCGGAAAGAGAAGGGAGTCTCTCTCTCCCAGTGTCCTGGCCAACCATCGCTCCCCAACTACAAATGGGTCACTTGCTTTGTAGCTGCTTGTGGGACGTGCTAATGACAAATGGTCTGCTGCATTTGCCTACAAATACGCAGTCACTACACCTTAGAGTATATCCCGTGAAGCGCTTTGAGACGTCTTCACGGCATGATAAGACCCTACATCAAAGTGAAAGGATTATTACGATAAAAGTTTGTTATGCACTGTAATAAAATTGGGTCTAATTTGTGGACTGGGTTGACTGGAGAACCCCACGTACCAAATGGGTAAACCATGTGTAACCGCCTACAGAAGCCCTGAATGATGTAACCAACAACTGACAACCATTTAAAAGGAGAGGTTTAAAAATGACCAAAAGTACATGGACCAAAATATTTGAAAAAAAGGGATAAAAAAGGAATAAAAATGTATTCCAGGAATAAGACTCTTCGACCACTCTTATGGTCATCTTTCCCCTCCATCTTCATATCACTCCCCACCCATCCAACCCCTGGTTCTCGTGACCGCAAGAGTCAGAAGATCCGAAGATTGGTTTAGATGGAGCCTATCTGATCTCACCTCTCCAGGGACACACACCCTCTCGCCCTTCCCATCACAGCATCAAACCGCTTGTTAAATGGGTCCAGTGTCCTGGCCTTAAACCGGAAAGTGCTTTGAGACATCCTCCTGACGCGAAAGATGCTGTACGAATGTAACTGCATTGCAATAATATTACTCGCGTTTGATAGAGCGCCTCATTACGTCTTCGAGACGTCTCAAAGCGCTTCACGAATAAAATAGGTATAGGTTTGCATCTCCATTGTAAGCAGACTTGATAAGATCGGATGCCTTGGTGCTGTATCAGTGATGGAGTCACCTCCGGACCCACATTTGGAATTCAGGTCGTCTGAAATGAGATCACGCAAGCCTTTCAACCGGAGAGGATATAAAAGATTTCTACCAACTGGAAATAATTAGGTGACAGGACCTCTTTCTTCAGCGCTCAGCATGCTCAAAGTGCTTTTGTGCGACTTGACTCGAAATGAATGCTTGAAAGAGATCTCCTGGTTTGAGAGAATTCAGATCCGAAGCAAAGGGAAGGTGTTTTGTAAACAGGATTTCCATTGTACTGTGTGTGGCAACCAACTGAAGCCCGTTACCACCTTGTCAGGCTTTATATAACTGCTCATAGGGGGCTCAAGAGTAGAACAGACTGTTTTTTTAGTGGCTCGCAAAACTGGTTCTGAACTTGCTTGATCGACTTCAAGATCCTCACCCTCGCGTTCAAATCCCTTCACTCCCTGGCACCTCCCTACCTCTCCGACCTCCTCGCTCCCCAATCCGCCACCCGGCGCCTCCGCTCGACCGGCAGCAGCCTCCTGCTCGTCCCTCCGCCCCACCATCAGAGGTCGTGCTTTCAGCCACTACGCCCCAAAACTCTGGAACTCTCTCCCTTAATCCCTCCGCCTTGCCCCCCCCCCTCCCCTCTTTCAAGTCCCGCCTCAAAACCTTCCTCTTTGACTGTGTTTACAGTCTCACCCCTCCCACCCACCCCCGGCTCGGAGTCAGGCTCCGCCACTGTTAAGCGCTCTGAGGTGCAACCCTGGGTGGCGGGCGCCATATAAACGCAAGTTGTTCTTGTTGTTGTTGCCGCTTGCAGTTGTGGCGAGTTACGGATTTTTTTGGCAAGGATATCCTGTCAAATTGAACAGATTATTCTGCTGCTAAATCCTTACGCCCTCTCTTAGCTGAATAGTACCACGAGATCTTTTAACGTTCGTCTAAACAGGTCGGACGGAGCCCTGGCTTAAAGCCTCATCCCAACGCAACTGTAGCACACTCCCAGCAGGGCCTTGGAGCGTCAAAATAGACGACTATACGGGTTCCAAGACCCGAGGTGGGGCTTGAACCCCAAATTTACTGGCTCAGAGGAGAGAAGGCTATCAACCGAGCCAGCCTGACGTACGCAAAACATGTTGTAATACAATGCAGGATATCCTTTGCTGCCTAAGCCGGGCAGAACATTCTATGCGTTATAATAATAATTATCCCACGGTCGATTCACGTTACAGTAAATGCTTTGTATCGAATGTGAGGGCTAATATTATTAGATTATTGTTATTTCTGCCCAATCAGTTTCAGCAACTGCGCTGCTGTTCACGGCTATGCCGCGCGCACATCGACATCCCGTGCAAGTCACAACCCATTCGGCAATCGATGAATGTGTGGAGGAATAACGACAGGTTCCATTAATTCCCTTCCGCCGCTCGCTTAGAACAGGCATTTCAGGCTTCGTTCTTGGGCAGTTTATAATCGGCCGTTCTTTCTTTCTTTTTGGGGGGGGGGGGGGTGGTGGGGGTTACCGAATTAATTCCATAAAATTCAAACGCAGATGTTCTCATAACAATCTATTGGATTACCACAAACTAACCCAGTTAGGATAATTCGGTTTTGTGGAATATTTGAGAGGCATTGACTCAAGATGATCAATGAGGAAATTATCCTTCGCCGCATAATTCTATTAGGAGCTATTATGCACTATCATTTGTTCTGAGGATTTGTGACTGAACGTCCTCCCAACGGATCGATTTCAAGCTCCTCACACTCGTTTTCAAATCCCTGCCTCCTCCCTCGCCCTCCGACCTGCTCACTCCCACCTCAAACCACAACTCGCTGCCTCCGATCGACTGGCTCCGACCTCTTGCATGTCCCCCGTGCCCTCCGCTCCACCATCGGTGGCTGCGCTTTTCAGCCACTAGGCCCCGACACCCTGGAACAAGAACTCTTCCTTTATCTCTCCGCCTTGCTCCCCTTCCTTCCCTCACCTGAAGACCTTCCTCTTCGACCGACCGTGCCTACGGTCACCTCGCCCCTACCCCCCCCGCCCGGCTCAGCCCTGCGCTCCTCCACCGTGAAGGGCTTTGAGACATCCACCTGTGGATAAAAGGTGTTGCATCACGTGCAAGGAATTGATTTTAAATTAGCTCATTTATTTGGAGTCGAGTGGAGGCTGTGCTCTCTGCCTCCTCGTGGTAAATAACTTCAAGGGGAAAGGGATCAGGCCCAAGTTTGTTTTGCCAGCCTCTATTTATGACACGGTGCATTTACTTCTGCCCCAAATTAAGATTTGTCTTTCTTTCTGTGGCTCAACTGAAAACACACGACAGTGGCAAGAGCTTTCTATCATCACCGAAGCATGATTCACTTATTCCTCAGCGAATGTTATCAGAATAAATTCCAAATTAGGATTCGCCTCAGAAAGGGAGGAACGTTTGTGACTTAACTCGATGTTAATCTTTGAAAGCAAGTACGGAGGTTATAATTCTTTGCACAAATTAATGCTAGCCGTCCGTTCGGTGGGGGTAGGGTTAGGGAGGGTGGGAGAAGTGGGGGGGGGCTGATCAAAGCAGCGCAGTGTGGAAATAA